TTTTTTTTTCCTTTTTTTGCAGGCCGAACCATCGTTAATGTGGATGGTTTCAACATTCGCTACGAACAGTATTCTTGAACGCTTGAAATAAAAAACGTTTTGAGGAAGAAAAATGAAGTTTGCTTTCCAAATGAAAAACTCTCGAACAGAAAGAATCTTAAATTCCAACTCTGGTGTAAATACTACAGATCACAGTTGAAACAAAGAATTCAATGAAGTGATGAACTTCAGTATATGTTAAAATCCTCATAAAGGTGAACAATCTATATAATAAAAAATGTTTGACAACTGTAATTGTGGCTGTAGTATAATTTTTCTTGACTTTGTAATATAGATGGCAAGTAAGTTCTAAGAACAGGTATAACTTTCGATCCGATTGTAATATTTTGAGAAACACGTCTTTAGATAACGTAAATATTAAGAGATCTCTAAGCGTTAAATCAACAGTCTAGGATTCCTGAAACTTTGACTGAAACAAGTGAAAAAGAAAGTTTATTAAGAATAGGACTGAATCAACCAAAAACATCAAACTTACCACGTCATGATCGAGACTATTTGAGCTATCTAAGAAACTAATTGAATGAAAAATTTAAATCCTTGTTATATCCAATATTTGAAAGATTGGTGTCTGCCAAATGTTCATAACATGTGAAATTATATTATAATGCGTTGAACATTGAAAACTTACTTGGTGTTGAAATTATATAAATGTTTTAAAGTAAAAGAAAAATATGTTTAACATCTATCTGTATTTGTCTGTTTGTAATATTCGATGAAATTTTTATATAACCATATTGATGTTGATAATGTTACGACCATTTTCCTCCAAACACCATTATTGTTCATATATTTTTTCTTTGATAAACGATTTCTTCACTTTTAGCATTCAATTCAAAATAACTATTTAAGAAAATGGAAAAGATTTTGTCATGTTTCTGTTTTTATTTGAACTTTAGTAATTATCACATTAAATGTTAATTAATAAATAAACTAGATTGTTCAGTTTGTTTTGTCGTGTTGAAAATTTGACAAGAGATGTATTACTTATTTATTATTTTAACTTCACATCCTGCTTTTAAATTTATTGCTTTCTATGAAAGATAAAGTCACGATATTAGCTTAATAACGAAATAATCAAATGATATACAGAAACGTTGCTTAAAATTATATTTTCTAACATAACGTATAATTCAATGCACAATATCTCAGCTGAATAATATGAATGTGTTTTTTTTATGTTACAGAAGTTATAAATATTAAAGAAAAGTGGTAGGGTTTTAAGCACGTTTTTCTTAGCAGGCCCATTAAGTGTTTTCAGCAAGTAATCTGCACATGCATCGTTTCAGCTATATACCTTATTTACCATAAGTTATTGCTGGTCTTTTTACTCGATATAATTGATAGAATGTTTTCAATATTAGTAGGTTCAAATAAAAAGTTTCTAACCAACTAAACAGTAAGTACTGTTTAAAGTTAAAGTATGATGATTGGTTGTATATAAGGTTAGATAAGACTCATTTTTGATCCTATATTTTTGTTGAGTCCAATGACAAATTTCGGTGTGATTTTAACTTATTTCAGAAACAATACGAGATGCATATCACCGCCTCCATTATAAAATGTTACATGTGAAAAAACCAAATACTTTTATGAATTGACAGGATATTTATTCACTTTTCAATAAGTCTAGACTGAACAATTTTAAATAACATAAGCAAATACTTCTACCAGGGACTGTTCGAATCATTCTTTATGCCCACGTTACTGTGATAGACATTCTAACTACAGCACAACTGTAGATTTTTATAATAATTTTATTATTATTTTTATGCACATTTTGATCTTTGACTGCAGTGTGTGATTAACATACTGATAATTATAACCAAAGAACAAATACATAAACTTTAAGTAGGATTAAGTTTACGGTGTGCTGATCCCAAGTAAATTTTGTGTTTTTAAATCTTATCGGAACTACTTTATAAAACAACGTCGAGAATGTGTGTATGTGTATATATATATATATATGTTTCAATATATAAAAGAAAGAGGAATTCAAATACTGCACTATTTGTTAGAATTAGATCAGCAACATGCACATTTTCATACTTTTTATTTATCGTAAGTATTGATCTAGACATCTTAGGCTTCATTATGATACAGGTACCTGATTTTTATGGGGTCTGGAACATCTTCAGAAGATAAGATTTAGTTATCATCCTCAGTGTCCTATATTTAATAACATGCGTCACTCTTTCACTGGAAGCAACTGCAATACCATAACTGGCTGCATATAAGTTTTCAATAAGAAGACGGACATGCACATTAATATATATGTATTCCATATTTATAATTGGAATTTCATTTCGCTTGTAAGACGTGCGAATAGTGGTTAAATCTGTATGAGTTTTATTTACACAGCCACCTCCCGAAATAGGCTACTTTTTTACCACTCGCTATTTTTAATTTGTACCTTAGAAGTATTTGTCTACCCTATTTGTTTGTGTTTGGCCTAGTTGTTTGTCAAAAATAAATATATATCCATGTTTATATATGCGTGTGGGGATGTATGTGTTTCGATCCTCATTACTGACTAACCTCATAAATATAACACTTCGGCTTTAGTAGCAGTAAAAGAAGAAAATCATAAATATAACACTTTGGCTTTAGTAGCAGTAAAAGAAGAAAAATGTGAAACACACAGAGCTTCGCCAAGCGACGTCATTTATATTGTATTGAAGAGAAACCCATTACTGGTTATACACTCTCGATACAGGAGTGTTAGCAGATTGCTAAGCAGTCGTTGCGAACGAAGATGAGATAGCACAGGTCGTACTTCCATATATATATATATTTATATAAGAACTCTGACAATTATAGAAGGTATTTGGTTGTCGTTAACCGTAAAAAAAAGATAAGCAAAGGATTTTAGTTAGGGACCGCAGATAATGTTTTGTTTTTTTATTCGATGAGAAGAATTTTGAACTTTTTTGAAATTCGACTCTTGTATTAATACTTTTGTTGATTTCATTAAATGTATCGTATGAATTTAAAACAATCTATAATATATACGTGTTAACTAGTGTGTTCCTTGAGTGTTAATTCTTACCAAAAAGTTATCAAAAGTGAAAAGACTAGATTATGCCAAGAGCAGGAGTCATGTGATTTTAGCCAGATTCAAGTGTCATGCAAGTTTGGCCAAATGCAGGGGTCATGTAAGCTTGGCCAGGTTCAGGGGTCATGTCCTTCGTGAAATAGCAATAAAATTTCCACTAAAGAAGGATAAAAGTCATTATCGAAAAAAATTAATAGTTTACTTACAATGAAATAAAACAGAATTGGCCATTAAATTTAATATTAAACTAAATTAGTTGCCCAAAACGTATAATTCGTTAAATAATGTATAAATAATCAAGACATAACTAAACCTTCAAAAAAACGAATCAAATGAACTCATAGCAAAATCAAAGTAAGGTCGAAGTCAAATCAAACATATTTCACATAATGAAACCAAATATTTTTCATTCGACGAAACTTTACGCTTATAACAAAACCGAGTTAAACACAAAAAATAAACTACATGAACCAACTGTGATGTCATATTATCTGAATGACACTTGACGTTCACTAATCGTAAATTAAGCCACCATATAATTACATTGGGACAAAGGTAAAATGTTAAAAAAAACTAACTAAAAACATAAAGATAATAAATTACATTCTCATACTACTGTTGAGCATGCGATGCTACAATATGTGATTAACTCTATACAAAATTAGGAGACGGACATAAACACCGAGAAAACTATCCCTGGAGTGTTGTTAAAGTCATTTTATTTTTCTTGTGTAACACATATTCACTCATTTGTTTCATGCGTTTGTAGAAACCAAATTATGGATAAAAGAGAAATACACTGTTACTCATTCCTTCGGGAATGTCTCCCGGTGAAAAAGCTGTCAGTATACGAACTTGTAATGTTAAACTCTGGGGTTCGATATCCGGCATGGCCAGGTGGTTAGGGCACTTGACTCGCAATTTGAGGGTCACGAGTTCTAATCCCCGTCCCACCAAACATGTTCGCCCTTTCAGCCGTGGGGCGTTATAACGTGACGGTCAATCCCACTATTCGTTGATAAAAAAAGAGTGGATGATGATGACTAGCTGCCTTCCCTCTGGTCTTTCAAGGCTAAATTAGGGACGGATAGCGCAGATAGCCCTTGTGTAGCTTTGCGCGAAATTAAAAACAAACCCTGCAGTGAACACAGCAGATAGCTCAATGTGGCTTTGTTCTAAAACAAATAAATCTTCATATATACGTAATTAATAAATAAAAAATGCCTTGATAGATATTGGAGTTTAGTTTCGTGGATAACTATGCAAAAATCCAGGTATTAAAAAAAATACGTTGATCACTCAAATTACGCAAAATGTAACGTTCTTCGCGCATCAAAATCTTCAGATACCTAACCACTTTTTTTAATCCTTTTTCAGTGATTCACCAACAAGTTTGAGTAATCAGAAATGAGGTATAGAATAACTGATATATCTTTGTGCGTGATAACGTGATCTGAAGAAGGAGAGTTAGTGAAAACCCCGCCTGTAAATAAGAATGTATATTTCCCCATCTTGGAATCTGTCTTCCTATATGTGGGTTTTCTCGCTTCCAATGAAACATTCATTCAGGGTTCTGTGATTAACAAATAGAACAAATTATCGTTGACAATTCAATAATTTTACCTTAATAGAAATTTAACACATGTATAACGTAAGGATTTAGTTATTACAGTTTTTCTGCAATACTCATATCACATATAGCCCATTGTGAAGTTTTGTGATTTATAAAAGTAATAACAATTTATGAATTCTCATAAATTACTCGTGTGTGTAGCCCAGTACTGAAATAATAACGTGTTTTCTGACTTTTGTCTAATATTTGGTTTGATCCATGTCACATTCTTTCTTCTACCAATTACTGAAAGCAAAGAATTTGATAGACGTTTGTAAAATGTTAATTTTATTTTTTGTATTAACCCATTCACTGCGGCTGGTACATATATGACCTCTATTTTTTAATGTTCACTGCGACTGGTACACAAGTGAATTCTTACTTTTAAAATTTCCGCGCTAAGTGTTTAATCGCAAATATTTGAGGTAATGTTGTCCATCGACATTCCACTATTTGTTACCGTACAGTAAGTCAATTATTTTCACATTCTATGCATCAGTTCCTTTCAAGATCTCAGAGAGGTCTGTACGACAACAGCTCTCTTCCGCGGCAGCAAGCGCCGCCGAAACTTGGGCAAATCCATATTATTTCATGGATTTACTAGATAGCACTGCCTCTGATGAGTTTACACAGGGTACAGAAAAAATAAACAAAACACTTACTGGCCATACATGTACCAGCCGCATGAATGGTTTAATAATATTTCAAATCATTTTATAATTTCCAAGCAAATGTTTTTTACCATCAGTGTTCCCAACTGTAGTGATCCTAGTTTTCGCCCTGTCTTTTAATGTAGAAAATTGAAATTATTTAGTAATTCTATTAATTTTATTATTGTTCCAAGTAAAGATAAAACTTAAGGTTTTAGGTGTTTGTTTTGTTTAGAATTGCCCATCTGCCTACCAGGGTAGCAATTATGTTTTCAAACACGAAAAATGGTTGGTACCAATCCTCACGATGCGCTATTAAGTTTGGTTTGAATTTCGCGCAAAGCTACACGAGGGCTATCTGCGCTAGCCGTCCCTAATTTAGTAGTGTAAGACTAGAGGGAAGGCAGCTAGTCATCACCACCCACCGCCAACTCTTGGGCTACTCTTTTACCAACGAATAACAGGATTGACCGTCATATTATAACGCCCTCACGGCTGAAAGGGCGAGCATGTTTGGCGGGACGGGGATTCGAACCCGCGATCTTCAGATTACACTGAATTAATAAAGCAACAATAAACTTTGTTAAACAATAAATATTTAATTACTTTCTTTCCAACTCACAATTCTTTGATCATATTCATTGAACTAATATATTCACACACTGTCTTATCTTTTTTATCTTTTACAATTCTTCATAAAATATCATAACTATTGTTTAATTTTACTTTAATAATTAGGCATTTCTATATATATACCTCGAATTTTATTGTTTTAACTTGAGCTTTCTGCCCGAAAACCTTTGTTACCATGCTTTCACGAAATCTTTAGGATGATACTATGTATGCTAATTTACTTAAAATTCATATAAGAAGAATGTTATTACAAATCCTCGAAACTAAAGAAAATGTTCATAGCCAGCACTATAAGTTGAATATAGTGTCATTATCTCATCCAGTTCACTACAATGAAACTCAAACATCTTAAAGTGATTATCAAATTGTATACTTTTGTCCTACTTAACCACTGGAAATCGTAATCCGACCTAACGTTTAATCATCATTTTACTTTATAAACAACCAAGTAAATCTTTCAACCGTTAAACACAGCATCTCTGAGTTATCATCCTAATAAACACAATAGTGCTTTACAGATAAAAATACAAAACAATCCAACTGACACTGTTAGAAAATTATTGCAAATTATACACATAAGAAAGAACAAGATCGAACTGTATTATAATGTATCATTAAAGTGTTAAGAAACACAAAATATTTCATAATTCATTTTAGGTTTATATCAATTTAAATCGTACTTTACAAGAAATTACTTGTAGCGAGACGACTTAAAAAGTTAAATTACGTTTATTCGATTATTTATAAGTAACTCTTGTCAGTTTTGAGCGCAATGTTTGGAAAATCCTTTTTGTTCCTCAACTTTCACTCAGCTGGAGAACTCACTCAATCGAAACATCTGTTTAGAAATAAATAAAACTTCTCTCAAAAATCGTTCATTGATGAAGGAATAGCTTTTAAAAATCCATTAAATAAACACTAAGCCTGTAAAGATCCTGATAAAAACACAAAGAGCAGTCTATTTAATTACAATGAAAAACAAAAAACGTTAATACGCCCACATTCTCTCATATTTATTATTCTCTTATCAACTTCTTTTCCTCCTAACCATCAACTTTTTTCCATAGCAATCACTCTCGCGGTCTCCTCCTTTGATTAGAGCAATGGACCAGCCCAACTTTATCTTCACAACATTTTTTGCCCTGGTCACTATCTCTATCCACCTAATCACTTCAACATACCTGTGATAAGAAATTGTTGCCAATTATTCAGGGGCAGACCCAGTTCTGTAAGACCTGGCTATGAGGGTGATGAACGTAACAGCAATGGCATCACACTAGTCCCAGTAATGTCATTTTGAAATGAGCCAAAACTACCCTAACATGAATGGTGTCATGTACTTATCCTGGCTTTTTTTTAATTCTATTTTAGCTGATAATCTGCAAAAAAAAAAAGAAAAACGTATCTGAACTACCGTACTCGTTAGCACCGATGATATCACTACTGCTGTATACTTGATCTCCCACCTTTTTGAATCTGCAAATTTCTGGTCAGTTTACTAAGCGCTAGACTTTAATGCGTACTTTTTTTTACTAAAACAATGTGAAACTGTTTAGACTTACTACTTGCACACTCTGTTTCTAGTTGCACTTTCCATTTTAACTTATCCATCTTCAGCCTTACTTCCAGTTTATTCAATCTCATTTATTTACTTCTTTTTCTGTACTTGCGCATCTTTTCTTTCAAACTTACTTTCATCTTCTTTGGTCTTGATCACATCCGAAAAACTCTACAAGAATACACATCCATCCAGTTCAATGTAAACTGTTTGGATCTCATCACTACGATCTTGTTCAATATTATTAGGATACTGTGCTATGGCTTACTCATTTTTATTTGTAAACATTTTCTTTCACTCAATCTCAGAACAAAAAAAAGAGACATGAATCATAAATTCGCAGACAACATAATCTCTGATTGGTGTTTCTGCACATAACCAATTGTACTAAAATTCTACGTTCGTTATAACTAAGTAGGTTAACATGTTACTTCTAGTTTACTCCCACGCCTAGCAACAGCGTGTCTTCGGTCTTCCATTTTTGTAGGTC